TGACCTTGACCTTGATCCGATGACCTTGAAACTCGAACTTGTCGAAGATATTTTAATTCTTTATGACTGTGTGAAGTTTGATTAAAAACCAAGAAAGAATGAAGGCTCTAGAGTGCTGACAAAGTTTTTCTATTTATAGTAATAGTGACCTTGACCTTGATCCGATGACCTTGAAACTCGAACTTGTCGAAGATATTTTAATTCTTCACATTTGTGTAAAGTTTGATTAAAATCCATGAAAGAATGAAGGCTCTAGAGTGCTGACAAACCTCTTCGGACAGACGGACAGACGGACAGACAGACAGACGGACGGACAGACAGACGGACGGACGGACAGACAGACGGAGGGGAAAACTATAGTCCCCCCGGTTTCACCGGTAGGGGACTAATAATAAGAATAATAAGTAAGAAACGGAACAATAACAACAAGTCACCCGACTTCGTTCGGGGTGACTTAACTAGAATTGCAATTGCGAGCAATAGCTGAAGTCACCCTCCCCTGCTAAGTATGCAGTCGTTTTGATTTTTTTTCACAATTTGTTATGGTTGTATGTGTTGTGTAATAAGGTACCTATATACCAATTTTCATGAAAATTGGACGATATTTAAATTTGGACCAATCAGAGGCCAGGAAATGTTTTTTAACATATTTGACCCCTGTGACCTTGAAAATACGTTAAGATCTTTTTAATGAGGAAACTTTATAGCATTCCATCCCATGCCAGGTACCTACTGGACAAATATCATAATCCTGGGCCTTATGGAACTTGAGAACAATATTGTTAAAGCTTTTAAACCCATGTTGACCTCTGACCCCCGACTAGCACTTAAAAATTGACCTTTGATGACATAACTGTAGGTCTACATGTTACATACCCAAGTATCATGACTCTAGTCCAAATGGTTCTTAGGATATTGTTGTTTGAAATTTTTAACATAGTCAACTCCTGTGAACTTGAAAGTAGGTAAAGGTCATTTTAATACGGAAACTTTATATTACTGCATCACAAGTACATACAGACCTAATATCATGACCCTAGGTCCTCCAGTTCTTAAGAAGAAGTCGTTCAAAAGAAAAAGTTGACGGACGGATGGACAGACGGATGGACGACAGACGGTGCAGTACGGCATAAGCTCACCTGGCCCGAAGATTTTCGGGCCAGGTGAGCTAAAAAGTTGGTCAGTAAGGAATTGATGGCAGCCTTCATTTCACCATGTGCTGCGCAGTTTATGTGACCATAATTATGAAATGAATCACAGTACATTTCATCATGGCCTTCATATTACCATATACTTCACAGGTATTGTTCCAGTAATAGATATTCCTGGTGTCTATAAATATTTCCTGGTGTCTATACATAATGTCGAGATGCCAACAAATATTTCTTCATTTGAATATTGACATGTGTCCATTTAACTTCTGATGATGAATTAAATTACAGATATGGGGATTCAATAAATTTCAATAAATTTCAACATGGAATAATATTCCTTTGTTCCAAAGTGCGTCTAGAAGTTGCCCGAAGACCCCTCTTTTGGGGCCCCTTTGCAAACATTGCGTCTTGGTCAGATCACCTGTGTATATAACTGCTGTGTTTCAAAACCGAACAATTTGAGTGGTCAAACTGGACATTTGGAATGGGTTATGAATATGGGGATAGCAAGGAAACATAATTGGCAGTGCAGACAACATATACATTCAACAAATGAAATATTAGTTTAACAGTATATGTCCCTGTGATGTAGTTGTTAGTGGTGTGACACCTTAAAAGTTGGGATCAGTACTTTGCTAGAGTTAAGTCCTTTGTGGAGCTCTTTTGTTAGGAGAGAAAACTTGTCGTGTGCAAAAGCGGAAAGCGAGGGGTGCACGTGTGTTGTCATCACATTGGCGAAGCAGGCTGTAGGTGGTGGAGGGGTATCTGGACCCCGGACTCGTTGTTGGTCCCGGAGCGGGGTTAAACTTTCTATAGCTGTAGATGCAGGTAAGCTGCTGTGTTGTTTCATTTATAGTGTGGTGAATTTTGAGTAAAGAGTTTATAGGTTTGTATATGGAAACTTCTTATGTAAAATGGCCGCCAATACAGTAGTCGATATAAGGTGAATATTTTGTTGTTGTAAGGGTTTTGTAAATGGCCTAGTACTCGACATTGGTGATGGCAGGGCTGGCGGAGGTGAGGTGAAGGTCACGTGTGGGATTCTGTTGTGTGGTGGAATCCTCCTTTCGAGGTCACAGAGTACCGGAAGTGATGTGGCGGGTGGACATAGTGAAGTATTGTGTGTACCACAGTTGGTGTATAATAGTCCGGTGTCTATAACAAGAGGCCCATAGGGCCTGTATCGCTCACCTGGATACCTTAGCAATCATGGCAAAATATTCTCCAAATGAGATCAAGGGAATATGCCAGACCCCAAGGCCAATCCTTGTAGCATAACTGTATTAGATTTTGTCATGCCCAGCAATTTTATGTATGGTTATGGGGTGGGGATCTCAACTAATTCCAAGCTTTGACTCAGAAACTAGGTCCCTAGGGTTGTGGCCAGACCCCAGGATCAATTCTAATATCGTGACTGCATTTGTCTCTTTTTGCCCAGCATTTGTATATATAGTTTTGGGGTGGGGATCTCAACCATTTCAAAGTTATGACCCAGGGGTTAAGTCTGCAAGGGTGGGGCAGACCCTGGGGTCAATTCTAATATCATGACTGCATTCGTCTTTTTATGCCCAACAATTGTATATATAGTTTTGGGGTGGGGATCTAAACCATTTCNTAGTTTTGGGGTGGGGATCTCATGCCATCCTGGAATCAAATGAGCAATCTTCTCTTTATACTCAGCAATTGTATACCATGGTTATATGGTGGGGATCTCAACTATTTCCAAGTAATACACTTTTTTGGCCCCACCCCTTAGCCCGGGGGGTCAGCCCCACCATTTGTACAATTTTGAATCCCTGCCTCCCATGAATGTTTCCGACCAAATATGATCAATATCCATGACATAGTTCTACAGAAGAAGTCGCTTAAAGCAATATAGCCAAATAACCCTTTTCAGCCCCGCCCCTCAGCCCCCTGGGGGGTCAGCCCAATTATTTGTACAATTTTGAATCTCCACCACCTTATAATGCTTCCAGTCAAATATGGTTGATATCCATCTCTTAGTTCCAGAGAAGAAGTTGCTTAGAGCAGTATAGCCAAATTGCCCTCTTTTTGCCCTGCCCTCAGCCCCCTGGTGGGTCAGCCCCATCATTTGTACAATTTTAAATCCCCACCACCTAGGGATGCTTCTAGTCAAATATGGTTGATATCCACTTTTTAGTTCCAGAGAAGAAGTCGCTTAAAGCAATATAGCCTAATTGCCCCCTTTTAGCCCTCCCCCCCAGCCCCCGGGGGGGTCAGCCCATCATTTGTACAATTTTGAATCCCCACCACCTAGGGATATTTCCAGACAAATTTAGTTAAATTCCAATTAGTGGTTAAGAAGAAGAAGTCGTTTAAAGAAATTGTTGACGTACGGACGGACGGACGACGGACGCAACGGGATGGCATAAGCTCACCTTGGTCCTTCGGACCAGGTGAGCTAATAAACTGATTTATGGAAGTAATATGTGTCCATGTATAAATCAGTAAGGTAATACTGAGTATATATATTAAACTGTAATAATTATACTGTATTTAACAGTGAATTAACCAACCGAGGGGTACATGAACATTATGAAGTGAGCAGTACAATTAGGGAGTACAGTGGAGAGAACTTTCGTTGGTTGAACCTGAGTGAGTGAGTACCATAGTACAGGGCTGTTTTACTGAACTTTACCAAACCAAGTGGATGGACATTGCAGTTGTTGTGGAAAATTAACTCTACAGTTTATAATTATGAACATTATTTGCCTAGGTCTTCTGTCATTCTACATATTTGATAAACTATATTTGTATTTACCGTGAGTGAGTGGGTATGTGTGGGATTGATTATATGTATTATTCTTAGGTAATTAAATTGTACCATGAACTCAGTATCTTTGTTGACTTTATACATTATCAGGCACCATGACTACAGACCTTCGTGACAGTCCCTTTAACCAAGGCCTTTGGAAATTCAAAAGAAAAAGCTGTCACACACTACCAGACACTCTTCAACTGTTTCTATATTATTGTCTTCATTTTGAATTCATAGGATTGATTGAAATTGTGCATGTGTATATGAGGTGACTTGATTTGGTATCCCTTTTAAGTGTGACACTTTGTTTACCTCATGACACATAAAAGACCCTCCCTTCTTCACTTTGTCAGCACCTCTGTCTGGGCCCATCTGTAACAAAAACCGAATTTTGTTCATACTTTCAATTGTTTGATTTAGCCATATTAGAGCAATTTTAAAGATCATTAATGATGCTTTAATATTTGTTTCTTTCAATGTTTGTCATAATTCTTGTGTTGGATAAACTCTATATATTAATATTTATATAAAATAGCCAATGTTTGCATGTAACTGACATGTATATATACCATACACAAGCAGGCTGTGGAATGGTGTCTCTTTTGTGTACATGACTCAAATAAATTTGCTTCCATTTTTAAAGGTTGATATCTATCTCACACATACAAACATATGATACATACAATGCAATATCTACCAGATCCCTCTAGTTCTTCCAGAGAAATAGCGATAACAAACTTTCAATATCAAAATCCAAGATGGCTGCCTGTCCGCCATGTTGTTTATCCGATCAGTCTTAAAGATTGCCCTGCACAGCTAAGGACCAAGGGGAACCTACATATAAAATTTGAGAAAGATCCCTTTGGTACTTCTTGAGAAATAGCGATAACAAACTTTCACTATCAAAATCCAAGATGGCTGTCGACGGCCATGTTGTTTATCCGATCAGTCTCAAAAGTTGCCCTGCACAGCTAAGGACCAAGGGGAACCTACATATAAAATTTGAGAAAGATCCCTCTGGTACTTCTTGAGCAATACCGATAACAAGAATTGTTTAAGGACAGACCACGGACCACGGACCACGGACCACGGACGCAGGGTGATTTGAATAGCCCAACATCAGATGATGGTGGGCTAAAAATGTATGTCCCTTGGCCCAAGGATGCTCTACATCAAATTGGGATGAAATCCCTTAATCCCTATGGTAGAAGAAGGATGATTTCAAAGGTTTATCTCTATTTCTCCTATTGTGCCTATTGAGCGCCCTTGACCTAAGGATGCTCCAGACCAAATTTAGTCAAATTCTACTGGGCCATTCAGGCCTAGTAGTGTTTTGAAGGAAAAGTTGACGGACTGACAACGGACGGACCAAGCAAGCTAATTTTGATAGAATTGCCTCTGTGTGTTTTAATATAAAGGTTGTCATTGGACTTTGTTAAGAGTTCTGTACTTACGGGGTTGTCTTTGGATTCTGTGGAGTGTTGAGTTCCCCACCAATCTGATGTCCATTCCCAAGCATTGCCTATCATATTCTTCAGGCCAAACTTGTTTTGTTTAGGAAAAGCGGTAACCTGAAAAATTAATAGACATAGTGTCAGAAGTGATAAGTATTTGTATGGTCCTCAGTGTCTGCAGTGACAATTACATATATTTACAATTGCCACTGTTTCGGAATCGATAGTGTAGAACGTGACGCAGTTCACCGCTTATGAATAAATGTAAATATTGGCAGACTTCTTTCCGCAAACCTCATGTCAATGTTTACAAACAAACACTAGCATTTAGACTAACGTGCGTTCGGGACACAAAATGATGTTGGGTTCGAGACAAGACAGATCATGTTCATGACCGTTCAAAACAAGAGGCCCAATGGGCCTGCATTGCTCACCTGGCATTAATCTCACACTTGTAATATTAAAAGTGGACTAAAATACAGCTACAGGCAGAATACCAGTGTTTGATTCATAAGAACCTATTAAAAGATTTAAACATATGACGCCTGTGACCTTGAATGTCGAACAAGGACATTATAATATTAGGTTGAACAGAGTTTATAGTCTTCCAACCCAGCATGCTTCTGGCAAAATATCATTACCCTGGACCTTTTGGTTATACAGAACAAATCATTTAAAGATTTAAATATATATTGACCACTGGCATCCTTGAATATGGGCGAAGGTCATTCACTTGGTAGTCCTTCATCCCAGCATGTTAATGGCCAGATATTATCACCCTTGGCCTTTTGCTTATTAAGAAGAAGTCATTCAATGGTTTTAAACATATTTGACCCCTGTGACCTTGAATATATATGTCAAGGTCATTCATTTGAACTTGGAAGTCCTTCATCCCAGCATGTTACTGGCATTCTCCTAGGCCTCTTGGTTATTCAGAAGAAGTTGTTTAAAGGTTTAGAACATATTTGACCCCTGTGACCTTGAAAAAAGATGAAGGTCATTCATTTGAACAAACTTTATAGCCCTTCATCCCAGCATGAAAATCCAATGTAGGGAGACAGTATCACAATTTCCGCATATTCTAATGTTTAATATTAAACTGATGAATATTGTATGTTTATTATTGACCGAACATTGTGTTCTTTCAATATTAAGGTATTTCAAAGCAATCCAGGCATAAATTCAGTTGTTTTTTAATCAATGAGTCACATTTTCTGTACTTCAGGAAACCAGCTACCTTTTTCACTACTGTGAAGTTTTTCAAGAACGATAACTCTTACACGCACTTACTATGTGTATATGGTTTTATTATAAAATGTCAATTTTTATTCGTTTATAGATAATTAATCTTACACAATTTCATCATTTATGAAATTGATATAAATTAATGCAATACTAATCTATGTCAGTATCATTTTTATTGACATTGTTTTGCAAAAAATTGTGTTTCATTTTTTTTTTCAAACTTTACTCCTTTTTACATAAATTTCCATTAAAAATCCTTAAAATTCTGAAAACCTTTATTTTTTTGTGGCAGAAAATTTTCTTTACTTCAAAGCAATATAACTACAAAATTTGAAGAAATTCTACAGAGAAATGGCGACACAATCCTATTACCTTAAGTAAAAAGTTGACGTCGGACGACGGACGGACGGACAACGGACGAGGCACCATGCCTTCGGGCCAGGTGAGCTAATGACAGGTCATAGATGGATGACTAAAGCTGCATCACAGTGTTCTGCTGCATGAATTATTTATGTACTGCACTTACCGGAGCTGTGGTTTCATAACCATCGTCTGCCGTGTTAGAGTTTGGAAACTCTCCATGCCAGATGTTCATCCAGTGTTCTTCCTTAGGGTTTACTTTGTTTCCCCATGGAAATAATCTATGAAAAGGTAATCACAGAAATCAAACAATAAATGCCAATCCTATGCCATATAGCATCCACTCAAAACTTTAAATAACTTTAAATGCTATCTACATTAAAAGCTATGATATCAATAGGAAGGGAGAAGGGTATCCGGATGGGTATAAACAGTATTTGAGGGAGTTGCAGAGAGGTTTGGTAATGACTATTACATGACTGTAAATGTTTCTATAAACAACAAGGCAAAGTTTTGCAAGGCATTCCATAGTCCCCCACCGGTTATGAGATCTTTATTTAACTAACAGTACACTTATGTCAGAAAGCATATATAGGTCACAGTGAGGACATAGTGACCTACTTCTTGCACTCCCCCAGGCACAGAAAAGGTACTTTGAGCTATGCCTTTTTCATGCCTTAAAGCTACCTAAAAGGTACCTTTGACCTGAGGTACTTTTAAAGTTTAGCTAAAATGTGCCCCATTTTTTGGACTCTAATTTCTTAGATGTGTCTCAAATGTGCCTCTTTAGACTTTGATTTTTTTCAACTTACCTCAAATGTGCCCCATTTGGACTCTGATTTTTCATATGTGCCCCTTTTAGACTTTGATTATTTTTAACGTACCTCAAACATGCCCCATTTGGGGTCTGATTTTTTCATGTGCCTCTTTTAAAATTTGATTGTTTTCCTACCTCAAATGCATGTGCCCCATTCGGACTTGAACTTGTTCTTAATACTGCAAAATTGCCCCTTTAAACATGTCCTTTTCAACATTTTTTTTTTCACTTTTGAAATGTACTTTTAATGAAAATGTGTTACCCATCTCCCAATTTAAAAAAATAAATATGTCAAGTTTATACTAAAAAAAAATTCTGTTTAAAAATGATTAAAAAATGTGCAAAATTGCATTTTTTTTCTTTTCTCTTATTTTCTTTGCTGATAAAATTTACCATCAAAATGTCTTTTTTTAATGCCAACATTAAAAGAAAGTAAGCTAAACGATTGAATAAATTACCTTGAATTCTGTGAATTTCAGTTTCAATAAACATTATTTAATTCAGAGACATGTAAAGCCACATCTCTGTCTAATATACATGCCAGGTGAGCTAAAAATCATAAAACACATTTCTGATTCAGTCATTGTTGCATATAACTTTCAGTCCCAACATCTAGAAAGACATTATTGAAAGATTTCAATGACACATTAGTGACATATTTATTAAAATGTAAAACAAACAGAGGCCCAATGGGCCTGAATCGCTCACCTGGTTTTAATCTCACACTTGTAATCTTAAAAGTGGACTAAAATACAACTACAGGCAGAATATCAGTGTTTGATTCAAAAACACTTATTAAAAGATTTAAACATATGACGCCTGTGACCTTGAATGTCGAACAAGGACATTAGGTTGAACAGAGTTTATAGTCTTCAAACCCAGCATGCTTCTAGCAAAATATCATTACCCTGGACCTTTTGGTTATACAGAACAAATCATTTAAAGATTTAAACATATATTGACAACTGTAACCTTGAGTATGGGCGAAGGTCATTCATTTGAACAAACTTGGTAGCCCTTCATATCAGCATGTTAATGGCCACATATCATTATCCTAGGCCTCTTAGTTATTCAGAAGAAGTTGTTTAAAGATTTTTTAAGTCAATTCACCCCTGTGACCTTGAATATTTGTCAAGGTAATTCATTTGAACAAACTTGGTAGCCCTTCATACCAGCATGTTAATAGCCAAATATCATCACCCTTGGCCTATTGCCTATTAAGAAGAAGTCATTCAAAGGTTTTAAACATATTTGACCCCTGTGACCTTGAATATAAGTCAAGGTCATTCATTTGAACAAACTTGATAGCCCTTCATCCCAGCATGTTACTGGCCAAATATCATCACCCAGGGCATTTTGGTTATAGAGAAGAAGTTGTTTAAAGTTTTTAACATATTTGACCCCTGTGACCTGGAATATGGGTGAAGGTCATTCATTTGAACAAAATGAACAAACTTTGTAGCACTTCATCTCAGCATGCTACTGGCTATATATCATTACCCTGAGCATTTTGGTTATTCAGAAGAAGTTGTTTAAAGGTTTTTTAATACAATTGACCCCTGTGACCTTGAATATAATTGAAGGTCATTCATTTGAACAAACTTGGTAGCCCTTCACCCAAGCATGCTACTGACCAAATATCATCTCCCTGGGCATTTTGGTTATTGAGAAGAAGATGTTTAAAGTTTTTGACATATTTGACCCCTGTGACCTTGAAAATAGGTGAAGGTCATTTATTTGAACAAACTTTGTAGCCCTTCATCCAAGTTTGCTTCTGGCCAAATATTGACACCCTAGGCCTTTCGGTTATTAAGAAGAAGTCGTTTAAAGTAAAATATTGACGCCGGACGCCGGACGGACGGACGGACGGACGGACGGACGGACGACGGACGGACGACGGACGCCGCGCCACGGCATAAGCTCACTTGGCACTTTGTGCCAGGTGAGCTAAAAATCGCTCTTCGTCTGAAAGCCACGTTTTCGTAGCTAGATTAAAATTTCAAAATAACACCAGGATGAATAACTGAGGAAGGAGAACCTGCTTCTAGTAAATAGGATCGCATAATAATTTTTTTTTAAATCGTAATTTTTCAACAGTTCATGTTTTCATATGATGTTGACTTAGAATGTATGATCATGTAACCACCTTTTCTCTATAAAGAACTATACTTTTCGACTTCAGATAGAATCGGAATACGTATTGAAAACAGGGGGGGGATTTTTGATTACGTTGTAAAAACGGTGCGTGCTGCCGATAACTATGGCTTCTGTTTCAAACAAAAGGAACTGATTAAAGAAAAGTTGTCTCAACATAAAAATGTACATTTGCAAGTATGCTTTAATCTCTGTAAAATATTGAAAAAATATAATTATCAAGTACCTCAACACGTTCCATAATCGACACATATTCTACATACTACATATACACGTAGCGGTTTTGCCATACAGTTTATTGTGTGTGATGGCTAATATGACTTACTAAGTGTTAGCTTATGGAGACAGTGAAAGTGGGAAAGAGAGTATACATACATTTATATGCATGGTCTAGAATTTTTTTTTAGCCAAAGACATTGAGTTGTATAATGTAATAAATGAAATCACAAACGTTTCCTTTTTTATTCGCGTGTAGTTTGTCATTGCATATATGCACTCTATGTAAACATTTGAAAAGGGATATTCGTCTCGTGAATATTTCTTTTTACAGAAAGGTTTGTCCCATGGTTGAGGGAAGGTGTTTAGCCCCGTACCATCTGCACCGGTCACATTCCGGTACTAAATTCAATATATATTTATATATATCTACTTGATGTTTATGCCTATACTATTATCATTGTTGACATTTAATTGTAAATGTATGATGGGAGAAGGCTGTGATAACTTGTAAAAACTTGTGCCCCCTCCCTTGTTCAATTTTATTGGCAACAAATATATGTTTAAAGCTAAATAAATTTAAATTCTGAATATTGGCAAGTGTGCAATTAACTTCTGATGATGAATAATTACTGTTCAATAAGTTTGAATACAGACTTAGAAATCATATTACTTGGTTTCATAGTGCGGTAAGAAGTTGCAGTTGCCTTACGGCCACTCTCTGGGGGCCCCTTTGGAAACCGTTTCATCTCGCTCACACCACTTGTGTACTGCCTTAAAGTCAGGTGACGTTATCGGCGCTATTTTTAGCAGGGCTTTCCCGAACAATTCAAGTGGTCAAAATGGACATTTGGAACGGACTATGAATATGGGGATAGCTAAGTAACATAAGTGGAAGTGCATACAATACATACATTCATTAAAAAAAATACGACTCTTCACGTGATGTCCTTTTGAACTATGCGATGGAAGTTAAAAACAAGAGGCCAGAGGGCCTGTATCACTCACCTGAATATATTTAAAATAATTGGTATGAAGTAAAGATATAGCACTCCATGGTAGGTGCTGTAAGTACATATGAAATTTTAGAAAGATCCATCTAGTACTTAAATTGAGATATAGCGAGAAATAACTTCAAACAGAGCCCCACCCCTATGCCCCTAGGAGAGTCATACCCACCAATTATACAAAATTGAGTCCCCTTGGCCCAAGGATGCACCGGACTAAATAAGGATAAAATCCCTTAATCCTGATGGTCGAAGAAGGATTTTAAAGGTTTTATCTTTATTTCTCCTATTGGGGCCCGCCCTTCTGCCCCCTGGGAGACCACACCCACTGCTTATACAAAATTGAGTTCCCTTAGTCCAAGGATGCTCCAGAGGAAATTCGGATAAAATCCCTTAATCCCTTTGGTAGAACAAGGATTTTAAAGGTTTTACCTCTATTTCCCATATTGGGCCCCGCCTCTCTGCCTCCAGGGGGGTCAGACACACCGTTTTTACAAAATTGGTTCCCCTTCACCCGAGGATGCTTCATACCAAATTTGGACAAAATACTGTTATTCCTACAGAAGAAGGATTTTGAAGAATTTGCTGTTTCCCCTATTGGGCCCCTCCCTTCTGGACCCAGGGGGGCCAGACCCACCGTTTATAAAAAAATTGAGTCCCCTTTACCCAAGGATGCTCTACACCAAATATTGACCAAATCCTTTCATTCCTACAGAAAAAAAAAGGACTTTAAAGAATAATTTGCTATGTTTCCCCTATTGGGCCCCGCCCCTCAGGCCCCTGGGGGGCCAGACCTATGGTTTATACAAAATTGATTCCCCTTCACCGAAGGATGCTTCAGACCAAATATGGAACAAATCCTTTCATTCCTACAGAAGGAGGAAGATTTTAAAGAATTAGTTATATTTCCCCTATCTGGCCCCACCCCTCAGCCCCCAGGGGGGCCAGACACACCCTTTATAAACAAGAGGTCCATTGTTAAAGCTTTAAACCCATGTTGACGTTTGACCCCCAACTAGGACTTAAAGATGACCTTTAACCTCATTACTGTAACAAAGAAAAAGATTCGCACTGCTGGTCTACATAA